TGATACTTTCCCGGGTCAAAGCTGGGAGGAACAGCGACGGGCCAAAACACTCATTAAGTTTGCCTTTGATGGTGATGTTGATAAACCAGGCCGCTTAATGCGCGCCCCAACACCATACCCAAAAGAACTAAAGGCATTGGCAAAACATGCTCGTAATTTACACAGCTTGCAAAAGGATTCAGCTCGTCAGTTTGTGCTTGGGCGTAGTCAGGATTCCAGTAAAACTTCATCATCAAACATAATTGCATCTACCAAGGATGAAACAGACACAGATTCGTCCAGAAAGGTAAGAGAATAATGGTAAGGTAAACCTCTGTCATATATGGCAGTCACAATGTGAGCAAATATTTTAAGGGTTAAAAATGTTTAGGAAAGTATCCCTTTCTCTTGGCTTAATTCAACTACATGTATCTTCTGTTTTTGGTTGGCATATGCTGATTTGGGAAATATTTCTGTAAAACAAATGGAGATGGTTGAAGGAAGTATATATCTTGGGTCTTGTTGCCTTGATCTCATTTTTCAGTTATTTGATACTTGCATTTTACTGTAGTATATTTCATAAGGTGAAGAGAGTGGTGAGAGAGTGCAAAAGGAGAGCAGATGATAGAGTGGGAGAGGCACTGTCAAGAAATTTTAATGAAAATAAGAAAAAATTTTGGAGTGAGTTAAACAAGTTAAGAAAGCATAGGGAAAGTATGGATTTGTCAGTTAAAAACAGAGTAGGGGAGTTAGTAGATGGGGAGATGGAGGTATTAGGTAGATGGGGAGAATATTTTGAGGAACTTTTAAATGTTAAGGAAGAAAGGGAGGCGGTAATTTCATGCACTGGTCAGGGAGGTTTACAATCTTTTAGGAGTGAAGAAGAGCAGAATATAAGTGTGGGGGAGGTACGTGAGGCATTATGTAGAATGAAAGGGGGTAAAGCAGCTGGAACTGATGGGATCATGACAGCAGGGGGTGGATATAGTGTTGGAGTGGTTGGTACTTTTGTTTAATAAATGTATGAAAGAGGGGAAGGTACCTAGGGATTGGCAGAGAGCATGTATAGTCCCTTTATATAAAGGGAAAGGGGACAAAAGAGATTGTAAAAATTATAGAGGAATAAGTTTACTGAGTATACCAGGAAAAGTGTATGGTAGGGTTATTATTGAAAGAATTAGAGGTAAGACAGAATGTAGGATTGCGGATGAGCAAGGAGGTTTCAGAGTGGGTAGGGGATGTGTAGATCAAGTGTTTACATTGAAGCATATATGTGAACAGTATTTAGATAAAGGTAGGGAAGTTTTTATTGCATTTATGGATTTAGAAAAGGCATACGATAGAGTGGATAGAGGAGCAATGTGGCAGATGTTGCAAGTATATGGAATAGGTGGTAAGTTACTATATGCTGTAAAGAGTTTTTATGAGGATAGTGAGTCTCAGGTTAGGGTGTGTAGAAGAGAGGGAGACTACTTCCCGGTAAAAGTAGGTCTTAGACAGGGATGTGTAATGTCACCATGGTTGTTTAATATATTTATAGATGGGGTTGTAAAAGAAGTAAATGCTAGGGTGTTCGGGAGAGGGGTGGATTAAATTATGGGGAATCAAATTCAAAATGGGAATTGACACAGTTACTTTTTGCTGATGATACGTGCTTATGGGAGATTCTAAAGAAAAATTGCAAAGGTTAGTGGATGAGTTTGGGAATGTGTGTAAAGGTAGAGAAGTTGAAAGTGAACATAGAAAAGAGTAAGGTGATGAGGTATCAAATGATTTAGATAAAGAAAAATTGGATATCAAATTGGGGAGGAGGAGTATGGAAGAAGTGAATGTTTTCAGATAGTTGGGAGTTGATGTGTCGGCGGATGGATTTATGAAGGATGAGGTTAATCATAGAATTGATGAAGGAAAAAAGGTGAGTGGTGCATTGAGGTATATGTGGAGTCAAAAAACGTTATCTATGGAGGCAAAGAAGGGAATGTATGAAAGTATAGTAGTACCAACACGCTTATATGGGTGTGAAGCTTGGGTGGTAAATGCAGCAGCGAGGAGACGGTTGGAGGCAGTGGAGATGTCCTGTTTAAGGGCAATGTGTGGTGTAAATATTATGCAGAAAATTCGGAGTGTGGAAATTAGGAAAAGGTGTGGAGTTAATAAAAGTATTAGTCAGAGGGCAGAAGAGGGGTTGTTGAGGTGGTTTGGTCATTTAGAGAGAATGGATCAAAGTAGAATGACATGGAAAGCATATAAATCTATAGGGGAAGGAAGGCGGGGTAGGGTCGTCCTCGAAAGAGTTGGAGAGAGGGGGGTAAAGGAGGTTTTGTGGGCAAGGGGCTTGGACTTCCAGCAAGCGTGCGTGAGCGTGTTAGATAGGAGTGAATGGAGACGAATGGTACTTGGGACCTGATGATCTGTTGGAGTGTGAGCAGGGTAATATTTAGTGAAGGGATTCAGGGAAACCGGTTATTTTCATATAGTCGGACTTGAGTCCTGGAAATGGGAAGTACAATGCCTGTACTTTAAAGGAGGGGTTTTGGATATTGGCAGTTTGGAGGGATATGTTGTGTATCTTTATATGTGTATGCTTCTAAAATGTTGTATTCTGAGCACCTCTGCAAAAACAGTGATAATGTGTGAGTGTGGTGAAAGTGTTGAATGATGATGAAAGTATTTTCTTTTTGGGGATTTTCTTTCTTGTTTTTGGGTCACCCTGCCTCGGTGGGAGACGGCCGACTTGTTGAAAAAAAAAAAAAATCAGGGAAACCGGTTATTTTCATATAGTCGGACTTGAGTCCTGGAAATGGGAAGTACAATGCCTGCACTTTAAAGGAGGAGGTTGGGATATTGGCAGTTTGGAGGGATATGTTGTGTATCTTTATACGTATATGCTTCTAAACTGTTGTATTCTGAGCACCTCTGTAAAAACAGTGATAATGTGTGAGTGTGGTGAAAGTGTTGAATGATGATGAAAGTATTTTCTTTTTGGGGATTTTCTTTTTTGGGTCACCCTGCCTCGGTGGGAGACTGCCGACTTGTTGAAAAAAAAAAAATTCAAAATAGAAAAGCCACTGATATTCAGGAAAGATAACTGAGAGAATGAGATGTTTTCTGACACTTAGTGGAACGAGGAATTCAGAGAACAGTCCACCTGTGAAATTGTTAAATTCTTCCACCAAAATGTAAAAAGGAGGTAGTTTTTACATACTTTCAGGGAGGTATTACAGGATGCTATAAAAAACCATGATTCTGCCAGCAACATGAGTAAGTAAAGTTTATTTCTTTGTAAAGGTTACAATGTGTAATTACCATTTTGATTTGCTACATACAAAGGTATTTACTATCATGCCGAGGCATTTTTGGGCAAACTAATCCTAATACAAAGTAACTAATTAAAACTTGATAAGATAATAGTACATAGTAACTATACTTAAAACAAGACAAGAAGTAGTGGTTAACTGTTTTACAATCTTATTAAACTTAATACAAGTGAGAGGTAGTAAGGTGGAGTAGGGTCCGGTAAAATAATCTTGAAATTGCACACAAAATCTACCTTACAAATAATGGTGCAGGTGGTAATATTTTATGGATTGGCAGAATTAAAAGCCAGGAGGTCACATAATAAAACTAATTAGCAGATTTTTTTGGTTGATTTGGTTAATATTGTGAGATAAGATGATCTTTTAGCAAAGTCCTAAATTTATGAGCTGTCTGGGGATGCTTGAGGTAAGAACAGAAGGAGAACTAAAGCTTCTTTACAGCCAAGTCAAAAGAAAATTGGCAATAAAGGATCAGTTCATGACAAAAAAAAAAATGAAGTTTCTGCAGAATATGCATTGCTTTCCCAGTCTCCCTCCTAGTCTTTTCTATAGCCCCGCAGAGGAAGCCGTCTGATTCTTTGAGCATGGGATTTTAAGTTTCAGAACTGAAATGGTCCCATTTCTTTGTTTCTGGTACGTAAGAGATGGCTTCGTTTGTTGGGATAAATGTATTTATTAGAGGAGCCCTAGTGCCTCTGCTGAAAAGCTTCCAATAGATCACCAGACAAAATAGGGGCACTATAAATCAGCCTGGTATAAGAGTGGCTAATGTTGTTGGGTTAGACCTGATCATGGGTAAGCAAGCATTCCTAATAGAAAACAGAAGGTAGAATGGGGCCATCGAGTTAGGTGGTACCTAGCTTTTAAAACTGGTAGTTTAGGAGGAAAAGCAAGTTTGTATTCCTAATGGTTTATTAGAACCCATACACAAAAAATTACATACAGTGGTACCTCGATATATATCCTCAATCCATTTCACGATCTTCGACTTATACCATACAGGACGTATACCAAATGAATTTTCCCATAAGAAATAGTATAGGGAAAAACGATTAATCCGTTCCCATGAAAAAATCCTATTGTTGTTGGCATATTATACATTGATGGGGTTGTATAAAATAATTTAAACACTGCTTAATACTAAAATACGTAACATAAATACAAAAGAATTAGATAAAATAAATGCAAATTTAACCTCACTTTGCTTTGCTGATAAGAGTATAGTGCCTACTTGGATAGTGCTGAGAAGGGAGGAGGAGGAAATGTTATTGTTTGGAAGGAGAGTCCCCTTCTCATTGCTGTCTTTTTTCCCTATTTGGACCTGGTTGAGGTTCACCAGGTTTGACTTTTACTAAAAATCTGTCGTAAGAACTTTGTTTCTGCCTTCTCCTCGGGATGTTTCGGAAATGTGACATTGTCTGGTCATTCCAGACAGTGCTATTACGACTTATTGGGCTTTGTTGAGGTGGTACTTCTCTGCAAAGTTTTTGATGTCAATCCATTTGGCAAAGATTTCCTTGATTAATGAAGTAGGGGCTTCCTCTGTCTCCTCTTCCGAGCCTGAAGAGAGTACGTCCATCTTAACCCTTTGACTGTCGCAACCCCAAATCCTGAAGTGTCTCCTGGTGTCGCAAAATGTTTGAAAAAAAAAAATTATTTTTTCTGATGAAATGATAGAGAATCTTTTCCCGATGATAATGACATCAAAAGTACAAAATTTGAAATAAAACTTACAGAATCACGCTCTCGTGAAGTTAGCGACCTCAGCGACATTTACACATTGGCGATTTCACCCACTTTGAGTCCTATTTTTGGCCAATTCCATTGTTCCAGTTGACCAAACTCATAGCTATTTCTTTAGAACTCCATTTGTTCTATCAATTGAGTACAAGAAACTGCCGCTTACTGATTTCAACTTCCCAATAAAGTGGTCAGAAATTGGCAATTTGGCCAATTTCATGCACATAAAAAATACATCAGTTTCAAAATAGGGTCCAAAATGAACAGTGCAGACATTCCTAGTACTAAAATAACATTTTCTCTGTTCATCAGTCACGACTCCAGGCCCCCGTTATAATACTCTTGCTTTCGATTTTGAATTTTTATTCACACAAAAAATAGAAGATTTACTGTTATGCAGACTACTGCAATATTGTAATAATTGTATAAATAACATCAACCCATTCGTGACTACATATTAGAATAGATAGTTGGACATTTATTGGACAATGACATCATTTGTTTACTCTTGAACATTGGCAAAAATCAAACATTTCCTTTATTTTGAGCTCCATTTCAAGATCCTTTTCATAATAAAACCAAGCAACATCACTTCTGTTTCTATAATATGTTTTCCATTCCATCAAATGAGACCAATACTACAACCATAAATACTATACGAAAATACACCTCAAAGTCAGCGTTTTAATCCAGAAACATGGTCGGAATTTTTTTTTTCCCATGCACTACATGCTGCAGGATTTTTTTTTTATACTGACCACACAGATCCATTCTCTCACATGTGGACCTACCAGCTTTTTCCCATTTGATTTGAAGCCGGTAGAATTTTTGACAGATGTACATCTACATTGGCTAATAAGACGTATATATACGACCGAAACAGTCAAAGGGTTAATCTTGTGCTCCTCCTCCTCAAGTTCCTGCAGCTTCTCAGTGGTCAGCTCTTCCCTGTGCCTCTCCACTAACTCTTCCACATCACCATCACTCACATCCAGACCCATGGACCTGCTTAGAGAGACAGTATCTTGGCTTTGTCTAGAGAGAGAGGTAAACAAGGGTAGTGTGCTGTGTCGTAACTCATTTTGACCCATACGAGTTCTAGCATGCAAGTTATATTCCAAACAAAGGTTGTATACCAAGCAAAAATTTTTGTGTCCAAACAGGACATATACCAAGTTGGACTTATTCCAAAGCAGACATATGGCGAGGTACCACTGTATATCAAATTCTTGTCAGTCTTATTATAAATCCTTAACCAAGCATTTAAAACCATTTCATATCTCTATACTTTCATATCAGTAACTATTGATGAATGGGTTATTGTACATCTATTTGTGTGTAATGTTCATTATTTAAACTGTATTGAATTCTTGATTTTTCTATTTCAGGGAATAGGGAGTGAGCTGAAGCAGCCATTGTTAGATCAGTCTAGTAATGCATACCCTCTTGATGATTCAATAGAATCAGAGGAAATAAGCTCACCATTAACAGTAATAGAGCCTCAAGCTGAGGAACGTCCACTTTTACGTGAGGCTCGCAATGTTCGTAACACTTATGGAAATATACCTGCTTTGAGTATCTCGAATAATGAAAAAAACTTCACCCTGACAAATGGAACAAAGAATATTACCTCTGTGGCTACAAACCATCCCTATGCCACTGGAGATAGAAAAGTTTGTGGATATGCGGAGGTAATAAAAATGTTTGTCACTGATAGTACTGTAGTGGCTTGAGTAATGCTAGATAGTGTCAATGTATAGAAGAAATAACAAATCTAACCATCTGTGTGCAATTCTTCAAGTATAATTTGAAGCTGAGGGATAAACAAAACTCGTTTCCTACAGGTTGTTGCAATGACCCAGTCTCGGGAAAAAGCAGTTACTGATCCTAACAAATCTTTGGCATCCAGTGTGGAGGACTGTAAATCACAACGAACTACCCCATCTGCAGCTGAGTCTTCCATGCTGTCATGCCCAGAAGCTACTAATTCAGCTACCTTACCAGTTACAGTAGAAGGAGAATTGACAGGCGATTCATTCGATAAGCGCATCAAGAAACCACCCCCATATCATATAGCTGCTGTGATGTCAAGGCATGCTGCAGACTTTAATGAATCTAGTGTGGATGCTTCTTTATGTCCTGGTGGACTTGAGAGCAGTAATGGACCTGTTAAAGAGATCTCGGAATCAAAACAGGTATACATGTCATTCTTTTAAAGTTCTAAGTGTGTTGTAATTAAAATAGCCTTTAAATCTATATATCAGGTAGTAGATTGGTGAACATTAACCATCCAGGGAAGTATTACCATCATATCACATGAGTGTGAAGCAAAAGGCTTCTTATGTCATATACCTGCTTTGGGTACCTCTAACAGTGAGAATAACTGAGCTCTGACAAATGGAATAAAGAATATTACCTTACTACTGTCATGCCATATGAGTGAGAAACAAAAGCCTTATGGAAGGAACAAAGGAAGGAAGAGGAAAGGGGTCATCTCAGGAAGCCTAAGGAAGTGGGTATAAAGTAAGTTTTGGAGTAAGTGGAGACAAGTGGTTTGAAGGAATAATGAAATATGTTTAGAGTACTGTATTGTATAGGATGATAAAAAAAATGAGATGCTACCAATAGAGAATACATGTTTATTTGTAAGTTGGCCATTAAGGTTTTCACATAAATGTAAATGACAAATCATATTATATTGAACACTTGTTTTAATGTCTCTCTATGTTGGATGTTGCTCTGATTCTACACAGTGTTTGTTTAAAAATTTAATAATGTGAACCCTATTCTTTTACTTAGTGATCACTGAAACAAAAAAAAATGGGCTACAATAGTATATACATTCTCCATGGGTTGCGTTTTTTTTTTTAACATTTTGTATTTGAATAGGAGAAGGACGAGACAAAGAATAGAAAATTCAAAATACAGTGGACCCCCGACTTATGATATTAATCCGTTCCTGAGAGCACATTGTAAGACGAAATTATCATATGCCGAATTATTTTCCCCGTGAGAAATAATAGAAATCAAATTAATCCGTTCAAGACACCCAAAAGTATGAAAAAAATTTTTTTTTACCATGTGAAATATACACATTCCTACACACAAAAAGAAGGATACATGCACAATACATATATATATTGTGCATGTACTAGAGTAATAAATGAAGAATAAATGACACTTACCTTTATTGAAAAGTATGAAAAAAAAATTTTTTTACCATGTGAAATATACACATTCCTACACACAAAAAGAAGGATACATGCACAATACGTATATATATTGTGCATGTACTAGAGTAATAAATGAAGAATAAATGACACTTACCTTTATTGAAGATGTAGTGATGAGTGATGAGATACTGTGTCTTGGGAGTGCCTTTTCCTCTTGAGTACTGTAGGTCCTGTTTGGCATTTTCTTCCAGAACAGGCCTTATCACACTGTGTATGCTACTACGATTCTTAAATCTCTCAAACCAACCTTTGCTGGCCTTAAATTCACCAATATGACCACTAGTTCCAGGCATTTTTTTCCTGTTCACCTGGATGTTAGTCGACTGGTGTTGGTCTCATCCTGGGGGACAAGATTAAGGACCCCAATGGAAATAAGTTAGACAGTCCTCGATGACACACTGACTTTCTTGGGTTATCCTGGGTGGCTAACCCTCTGGGGTTAATTGTTTCTTGGTATTCTCAATAAGCCACACCAATAACAGTCTCCACATCTTCGAGTAATACAGCTCACCATGGTGCAGCAGCAGCTGATGGTGCTACAGCAGCAGCAGCAGGTGACCGTGGTGCAGCAGCACCTGACCGTGGTATGATAGTATTTCTCACCCTTTTTACCACAGGGTTGGCACTAGAAGCTTTCTTTGGGCCCGTGATGGCTTATTTAGCAGTTACAAGCACTAAAAACACTGGAATAATACAAAATTTATCGAATGTATGCGTGCAACCATGTCCGCCCCGGCTTGTAAACAATGTCACACTAGCTCAGTTGAGGCACTCAGGCCAGACAGATGCGTGGACGCGTACGGGACGAATGATGTAAGTCGAGTCTTTCAACGGTTTTAACGTAGGTTGAGGACATCGTAAGTCGGGGGTCCACTGTATAAAGAGAAAAGACATTTTGAGGAAGTATTTGTGTAATGGTATTACACAGAACTTAAATGTAAAGCGAGTGTATAGAACTTAAATGTAAAGTAAGTGTTTAATGTTAAAAGACCTTCCTGTAGGTAACTGAGTTTCATGCAAATACTTTTTTTTTTTTTTTTTTTTTTTTTAACAAGTCAGCCTTCTCCCACCGAGGCAGGGTGACCCGAAAAGAAAGAAAATCCCCAAAAAGTAAATACTTTCATCATCATTTAAACACTTTCACCTCGCTCATACATAATCACTGTTTTTGCAGAGGTGCTCAGAATACAACAGTTTAGAAGCATATACGTATAAAGATACACAACATATCCCTCCAAACTGCAAATACATGTATGATAAATGGTGTAATCATAGTATTGTTTGTAGAATAAATTTGTCTTACTCCATAGCAGAGTTCAGCTGCCTCACATTGTGTTGGTGCTGCAATAGCAGCAGTAGCAGAAGATGAGACCAATGACACCAGTAGTTCGAGTGACAGTGGGTATAGCAATGGCAAGACATCCAGTCAGCAAAGTGAGTACATATTCTGTCTCTTAAAAAACAGCTCAATTCAGCCAGAGATGTTTTGGAACATGCTACATAATAATTGTTTAATATTTAATATGCAGTATTTGTGCATATATTTTGTAGCATGACAGTGATTTTGCTTAGAGAGTAACTTTAAAATACTTCTGCTTCTAAGAGAGTGTATATTACATGAAATAATCACTTTTGAACCCAAAGAAGGAAATATCTATCATTCTATGAAAGATGAAGTGAGCCATAAAAGTAATGAGGGAGGGGGGAAAGATGGGTGGTGTATTGAAGCATCTATGGAGAGAGAGAACCTTGTCCATGGAGGCAAGAAAGGGAACATACCAGAATATAGTGGTATTGTACCAACACTGTTATATGGGTGTGAAACATGGAGTTTTTAATGTTGCAGAGAGGAGGAGGGTGGAAGCATTGGAGGTGCTTCACACCCATAGATAAATTTCTTTGTCTCCACACATTCCTCAATTCACCACCCACCTTTTTACCCTTCTCTGTTCTATGCCCACTCCCAAATATCTGAGGACATTTCTTCCATGCTCCCTCCCTCCAATCTGATATCCTCTCTTCGATTGCCTAGATTCATTGTTGCTCTCACCACCTTGCTCTTCCCTATGCTCACTTTAAATTTCATTCTTTTGCTTACCCTATTAAATCCTCCACCAGCCTATGAAATTCTCTTTGGAAAAGGACCATGTCATTAGCAAAGAGCAACTCTTGGCAGCTCCCAGAAGAGATTTTTTTAAATATGGCAAGTTAATGCAGGACAAGAATAATATTTTGTTAAAAATATTGTATGCAAAGTTAATGAGGTCATGCTGTAATGGTAGTATTGATTAAAAACAGTAATTGAAAGATGTAAAATATATTAATCATTTTTAAAAAGATATTGATCTTATACAAAAAGTAGCAAAGTTACATAGTACAGTGGAACCTCAAATTTCGAACGTATCGCTTATCGAACTCTTCGAAAATAGAACCCATTTTTCCAACCAACTTTGTCCCTATTATCGAACTCGCCCCTATTTTCGAACCGCCAGGTACCGAACCTGTCCGGCAGCCCGCTCTGTCCGCATCCCTACGCAGGCGCCGTGAGCCAGTCTGATTTTGTTGATGCTTGAGTGAACACTAACTTGCGCTCTCATTCAAACATTTTACGATTATTTCATTGTGTTTAGTGCTTGTGGGACTATGAAATGAGCTACAATGGGCCCAAAAACTTGCTAGTTTTACCCCTGTGGTAAAGAAAGTGAGAAACACTATAGATGTGAAGGAAATAATACAGAAGTGGAATGATGTTCAAGTGAAATGATGTCCAAATGTTTGTGGAGAAGTACCACCCTGAGCAAGCTGAAACAAGCCATCTTTGCAACAAGTTCAGTGACAGAACCATGTCCCATTTTAAGGAAATCTTAAAGAGATGCCAGAAACAGAGGACTGTGGACAGTTACTTTGTGAGACAGGGGTCCAGTGACTCTCAAGCTGGTCCTAGTGGCATTAAAAGACAGAGAAGCAAAGTAACCCCAGAGAGGGCTTTGATACCTAAAGTCCTTATGGAGGGGGATTCTCCTTCCAAACACTAATCCCAACTCCCTCACTCCTCCTCCCTATCTTCCAGATGCCATCACCAATCTTCAATAAAGTAAGTAAAATGTTATTTTATATATTTATTTAAATTTATTAATACATAATTGAACACTATATTTGTTGTGTGTATGTAAAACTATAATTAATCTCTATAAAGTGTATTTTTTTTTGTGTGTGTGAATATTTTTGGATTTCTGGAACGAATTAATTGTATTTCCATTATTTCTTAAGGGAAATATTGCTTCGCTTTTCAGGCTTTTCGAATTTAGAACTAACTCCTGGAACGGATTAAGTTTGATATTTGAGGTTCCACTGTATAGTAACACTGGATATCAGATAATACAGATTTTGAGTGTAAGATGCAGTACTAATATGGTAAAAAATGATAGTGGTTAAAAATGTTGATACTGTAGTTCTGTAATTATAATAATATTTTTACAGTGGGATGAAAATTTCTTTTCTACTCCATTAATAACAAGAAGGCATATTTCTCTGATAGGTGGAGGTGTGAGGTTATGACTCTTTTTATAACTGGTTCAATTATGCCAGATTCTTTGAGGAAATTGATTAGGTCCCAGTTACTGGTTTCATGTCTTTTTTGCACATGACTTTTTTTTTTTTACAATTTATGCATCTTTAAAACATCGTAAGTGTTCTGTGTTTTATGGCTGATTGAATGAGGTGTCCCTCTCTTGAGGTATGAAATCTGAACAAGATTGGTCATTTACTTCCCTTTTTGTCAAACAAGAGTGCTGCTTGGGCTGTCCTATGATCTATGTTGATATTGATCTGAATATTCATCACTTGAAAGTGAGAGTCAGATAATTTTGATTTAGTGTCTGAGAATATTCTACTGTTCATAATAGCAGCATCAGCTACCTATTGCTGCTTCATGTAATTTACTTGCCTGTGTGAATCAATAAACTGCTTATAGTGTGTTTTCTAATATATGTTGCATTTTTTTCAACTTTCATTGATAGAGTTTATTGGCATTTCAACATCTTTCATGTCTTCACTGTTACTTTTGACTGCGGTTTGCATTTCTTTTTTTTGACTTCCCTGGCATTTTCTAGATTAATTCATTAGTATACTGGGTTAGTGCATCTTATATTTGTTGGCAGGCTACATAAAGCTGTCACTAGCTCATCAGTTTTGTTAGAAAGGTTCCAGGTAGAGTGTAGTCTTCATGGTGCATTTCATAATTTTTATTCAAGCACTTTATTTGCAGTTCCTGGTTAGTTAATATTCACCAGTTTTGAGTTTTCACAGTTTCATCAAAAACTTCAAAGGAATTAGGAAATGATTCCCTTTGGTTGTCCATTTTAATTGTTGTGGTTGAGGCTTGGTTGGTAGGGAAAGTGATGAGGGAGACTTGAGTGCTCAGGCTGCTGAGGGTAGAAGCTGCTAGAGGGAAACTGTGTTTACCTTTGGTCATCTGCATCTGGGATTATTGATGGTGCTAGTTCTGTGACATCTTGTTTTACCCATGGACCATTTGTGTAATGCTTGAGAATAATATTCACCTCAGTCCATTTTGGTTGGGGTACAACTAGCTTGATAATGTTTTATGATGTTAGTAATGCTATACTAGTTTTCAGGTTTTTTATTTCCTCCTTAATCACATCCTCCTTGCTATTATTGTTGACTCTCACTTTTTAATTTTTAAAATATTCTGCAAATATTTTATTTGTAAATTTGGAAACAAGAAGCTCAGTTTCTTTTTCTTATTGTAAAACTTATTTTCAGTTATTGATGAACAGCATTGTAGTGATGGCAGTGGTATCAACACTCCGTCGTCTCCTCAGAACCTGACTGACTCTGGTTTTTCAATGCCTTCAATATCTTCACCACAAAGCAGCACAGATGTAGCATCTCCACATTCTTTAAATTCTTTGATTATGCCAGTTACTACTGCAGCATCCCAAACTTCCTCCATATCAATACCATCTCCTGTCTCAGGAGATGTAATGCTATCAGTAAACAACTATTCACGTGCTGCACTTCAGAATACACCTCCAACCACAGCACCATCACTGTCTGTCTCTCACCCTTCCAGTGACTCTCCTCAGAAGTCCATATCAAAAACTGGTGATACTCACAATATGACTCACAGTGGTGCAATGTCTGGCACCAGACCAGCTTCTATTGCCACTGGAACACAGTTAGAAAAGTGCAGTACTCCAGTGGTACATCGACCAGGATCCCTTGCATTGGGAAACTTGGCAGATACTGCTCTGCTCAACAGACTGCCTCGTGACCATCGGCCAGGATCTTTGGCTGCCCCTATTAACACTCTGGGAATACCACCAGCACCTGCTAGAGCTGCATCCCACATGGGGCTTAATGTAACAACTCCAACTAGATCGCATGATCTTCCAATGTTCAAGAGTCAAGACTTTGCACATATAAGACGAGGATGGACTCCAGACCTCCAAACTCAAAATGGCGCTTCTAACCATCGACAGGAGAGTAATGGTCTCGTCTCCATTATTGATCAGGTGATATATTTATTCGTGTATTTTCGAAGTTGATGTTTTGAAACAAGTAGTGTACTGCATAGCTCTAGTAATATATCTCATATTAATCATTTCTTCCAGTGCTTGAGCATACAGGATTATCTTTTGCACATTGATCAATTTCTATGCAGCTGAACTTGTAACCAATTGCACCAGCACTGGCTCAAGTGAGTTGTATTCCTTCATTTTCACTTCTGTTACACAGAGTTCCACCAAGGACTGTTCTTGTTCCTTGTGCACATCTAGTACTTTCATTTTTTTGCATATACAGCTTCTTCTCACTTAACGACGTGTACTCATTTACCGATGACTCAGACTTAAAACGGGCTCTGACCAGTATGCATACCTAAATAATGTTTATTAGAGCTGATTTCCTCTGCTCTGTTTATTACAATATACAGTACACTACTGTATAAGCATTAAAAATATACAAAAATTTTTATAAATGGTGCAAAAGTGACATTAAAACAATATCATTATAGTATGTATACTCCTTGCTTAGTGATGAATTTGTTTACCGACTTGGTCTTAGGAACAAAACTTTGTTGTTAAGTGTTGAGAGACTATATTGTACACTAACCCAACTATATTGTGTTGGGTTATGTACTAAGACTTTCCATATATAATGCAAGTTTGGGCAAAACCTGCACTTTGCCTCAGACTAGCTATTTCTCAATTAGATGAAAAAAATCATAAACTTCAATCTCTCTTATATGCTGGCATATATATATATTGGCAGTTTCGAGGGATATGTTGTGTATCTTTATATGTGTATGCTTCTAAACTGCTGCATTCTGAGCACCTCTGCAAAAACAGTGATAATGTGCGAGTGTGGTGAAAGTGTTGAATGATGATGAAAGTATTTTTTTTTTGGGGATTTTCTTTCTTTTTTTGGGTCACCCTGCCTCGGTGGGAGACGGCCGACTTGTTAAAAAAAAAAAAAAAATTATAGATGACCATAAATAAATAAATTATTTGAAAGTCTGGTAGATTTTGTAGTTACAGTGGAACCCCGGTTTTCATCTTTAATCCATTCCAGAAGGTCGGCTGAAAACTGATTTGTACGAAAACTGAAGTAATATTTCCTATAAGAAATAATGTAAATCCAATTAATCCGTACCAGACACCCAAAAATATTAACAAAAATTTTTTTTTTATAGAGAATAACTATAGTGTTGCAACTCTTCAGTGGTTAGGTCTTCCATAAGGTCAACCATCAACTCTTCCACATCCTGGCCACTCACATCCAACCCCATGGAATTCCCTAAAGCCACAATAGATTCCACAACAGGTGTAGGGTTGTAAAGTTTACACTAAATTATATTAAGTTAGTAATAGAACTAGGTATTAAAAACAGAATAAAAAGTAAAATACATACACAGTACATTCATTACTTACATTAAAATATTTGTAGTCTTAATGTAGGGCAAGAAGTGAGTAGTACTTACTTGTAGGTAGATGTAGGTATGTAGTCTGCCTGGGCTACATACCTACACCTACCTACATATTATTATTTTTTTATTATCACACTGGTTGATTCCCACCAAGGCAGGGTGGCCCGAAAAAAAAAACTTTCACCATCATTCACTCCATCACTGTCTTGCCAGAAGGGTGCTTTACATTACAGTTTTTAAACTGCAACATTAACACCCCTCCTTCAGAGTGCAGGCACTGTACTTCCCATCTCCAGGACTCAAGTCCGGCCTGCCGGTTTCCCTGAATCCCTTCATAAATGTTACTTTGCTCACACTCCAACAGCACGTCAAGTATTAAAAACCATTTGTCTCCATTCACTCCTATCAAACACGCTCACGCATGCCTGCTGGAAGTCCAAGCCCCTCGCACACAAAACCTCCTTTACCCCCTCCCTCCAACCTTTCCTAGGCCGACCCCTACCCCGCCTTCCTTCCACTACAGACTGATACACTCTTGAAGTCATTCTGTTTCGCTCCATTCTCTCTACATGTCCGAACCACCTCAACAACCCTTCCTCAGCCCTCTGGACAACAGTTTTGGTAATCCCGCACCTCCTCCTAACTTCCAAACTACGAATTCTCTGCATTATATTCACACCACACATTGCCCTCAGACATGACATCTCCACTGCCTCCAGCCTTCTCCTCGCTGCAACATTCATCACCCATGCTTCACACCCATATAAGAGCGTTGGTAAAACTATACTCTCATACATTCCCCTCTTTGCCTCCAAGGACAAAGTTCTTTGTCTCCACAGACTCCTAAGTGCACCACTCACTCTTTTTCCCTCATCAATTCTATGATTCACCTCATCTTTCATAGACCCATCCGCTGACACGTCCACTCCCAAATATCTGAATACGTTCACCTCCTCCATACTCTCTCCCTCCAATCTGATATCCAATCTTTCATCACCTAATCTTTTTGTTATCCTCATAACCTTACTCTTTCCTGTATTCACCTTTAATTTTCTTCTTTTGCACACCCTACCAAATTCATCCACCAATCTCTGCAACTTCTCTTCAGAATCTCCCAAGAGCACAGTGTCATCAGCAAAGAGCAGCTGTGACAACTCCCACTTTGTGTGTGATTCTTTATCTTTTAACTCCACGCCTCTTGCCAAGACCCTCGCATTTACTTCTCTTACAACCCCATCTATAAATATATTAAACAACCACGGTGACATCACACATCCTTGTCTAAGGCCTACTTTTACTGGGAAAAAATTTCCTTCTTTCGTACATACTCTAACTTGAGCCTCACTATCCTCGTAAAAACTCTTCACTGCTTTCAGTAACCTACCTCCTACACCATACACTTGCAACATCTGCCACATTGCCCCCCTATCCACCCTGTCATACGCCTTTTCCAAATCCATAAATGCCACAAAGACCTCTTTAGCCTTATCTAAATACTGTTCACTTATATGTTTCACTGTAAACACCTGGTCCACACACCTCCTACCTTTCCTAAAGCCTCCTTGTTCATCTGCTATCCTATTCTCCGTCTTACTCTTAATTCTTTCAATTATAACTCTACCATACACTTTACCAGGTATACTTAACAGACTTATCCCCCTATAATTTTTGCATTCTCTTTTATCCCCTTTGCCTTTATACAAAGGAACTATGCATGCTCTCTGCCAATCCCTAGGTACCTTACCCTCTTCCATACATTTATTAAATAATTGCACCAACCACTCCAAAACTATATCCCCACCTGCTTTTAACATTTCTATGTTTATCCCATCAATCCCGGCTGCCTTACCCCCTTTCATTTTACCTACTGCCTCACGAACTTCCCCCACACTCACAACTGGCTCTTCCTCACTCCTACAAGATGTTATTCCTCCTTGCCCTATACACGAAATCACAGCTTCCCTATCTTCATCAACATTTAACAATTCCTCAAAATATTCCCTTCATCTTCCCAATACCTCTAACTCTCCATTTAATAACTCTCCTCTCCTATTTTTAACTGACAAATCCATTTGTTCTCTAGGCTTTCTTAACTTGTTAATCTCACTCCAAAACTTTTTCTTATTTTCAACAAAATTTGTTGATAACATCTCACCCACTCTCTCATTTGCTCTCTTTTTACATTGCTTCACCACTCTCTTAACCTCTCTCTTTTTCTCCATATACTCTTCCCTCCTTGCATCACTTCTACTTTGTAAAAACTTCTCATATGCTAACTTTTTCTCCCTTACTACTCTCTTTACATCATCATTCCACCAATCGCTCCTCTTCCCTCCTGCACCCACTTTCCTGTAACCACAAACTTCTGCTGAACACTCTAACACTACATGTTTAAACCTACCCCATACCTCTTCGACCCCATTGCCTATGCTCTCATTAGCCCATCTATCCTCCAATAGCTGTTTATATCTTACCCTAACTGCCTCCTCTTTTAGTTTATAAACCTCCACCTCTCTCTTCCCTGATGCTTCTATTCTCCTTGTATCCCATCTACCTTTTACTCTCAGTGTAGCTACAACTAGAAAGTGATCTGATATATCTGTGACCCCCTCTATAAACATGTACATCCTGAAGTCTACTCAACAGTCTTTTATCTACCAATACATAATCCAACAAACTACTGTCATTTCGCCCTACATCATATCTTGTATACTTATTTATCCTCTTTTTCTTAAAATATGTATTACCTATAACTAAACCCCTTTCTATACAAAGTTCAATCAAAGGGCTCCCATTATCATTTACATCTGGCACCCCAAACTTACCTACCACACCCTCTCTAAAAGTTTCTCCTACTTTAGCATTCAGGTCCCCTACCACAATTACTCTCTCACTTGGTTCAAAGGCTCCTATACATTCACTTAACATCTCCCAAAATCTCTCTCTCTCCTCTGCATTCCTCTCTTCTCCAGGTGCATACACCTACCTACATAGCTGCATGATATTTAATGCGGCCCAGAGCCATATTATTACCATCAACATACCATGTTCACTGAGTTTAATTGTTTCTAACAGCTACCTTTAGATCCCATCATAAACAAAGGGAGAAGTAACAAATAATTCAGGCCAAGAATTGTAAACAATAGTGTTATGTACTAAGGGGGGTGACTGGGCTAATGCAGATTCATACACGTTTTCTCTGATGCTGGACCAAATAAAACGTAATGTTTTCCCTCCACCCGACTACCACCCCTCCATAGCATATAAACATTGCATGTTTATATGCTGTGTAATGTGTTTCTTATATAATTTTGAAGAAAATATCATAGATGGATTAATGAAAATGTCTATATTAACCTAAAATTAGACATTTAATATGCCCAAGAGTGATTATTACGTAGAAAGAGGTTTAGTAATAAGTAATACATATTTTATGAAGAAGAGGATAAATAAATGTACAAGGTATGATATAGCACATAATGAAAGTAGTTTGTTAGATTATTTATTGGTGGATAAAAGGTTGATGGGTAGGCTCCAGGATGTAAACGTTTATAGAGGGGCAACTGACATATCGGATCATTATTTAATTGTAGCTACAGTTAGAGTAAGAGGTAGATGGGAAAAGAGGAAAATGGCAACAACAAGTAAGAGGAAGGTGAGAATGTATAAACTAAGGGAGGAGGAAGTTCGGGTGAGATATAAGCAACTATTGGCAGAAAGGTGGACTGTTGCAAGTATGAGCAGTAGGGGGGTTGAAGAGGGTTGGAATAGTTTTAAAAATGCAGTATTAGAATGTGGCGCAGAAGTTTGTGGTTATAGGAGGGTGGGTGCAGGAAGAAAGAGGAGTGATTGGTGGAATGATGAAGTAAAGGGTGTGATAAAAGAGGAAAAGTTTGCTTATGAGAGGTTTTTACAAAGCAGAAGTGTTATAAGAAGAGTAGAGTATATAGAGAGTAAAAGAAAGGTGAAGAGTGGTGAGAGAGTGCAAAAGGAGAGCAGATGATAGAGTGGGAGAGGCACTGTCAAGAAATTTTAATGAAAATAAGAAAAAATTTTGGAGTGAGTTAAACAAGTTAAGAAAGCCTAGGGAACAAATGGACTTGTCAGTTAAAAACAGAGTAGGGGAGTTAGTAGATGGGGAGAGGGAGGTTTTTGGGTAGATGGTGAGAATATTTTGAGGAACTTTTAAATGTCGACGAAGAAAGGGAGGCAGTAATTTCATGCACTGGACAGAGAGGTATACCATCTTTTAGGAGTGAAGAAGAATAGGATGCGAGTGTGGGGGAGGTGCGTGAGGCATTACGTAGAATGAAAGGGGGTAAAGCAGCTGGAACTGACTGGATCATGACAGAAATGTTAAATGCAGGGGGGGATATAGTGTTGGAGTGGTTGGTATTTTTGTTTAATGTATGAAAGAGGGGAAGGTACCTAGAGATTGGCGGAGAGCATGTATAGTCCCTTTATATAAAGGGAAGGGGGACAAAAGAGATTGTAAAAATTATAGAGGAATAAGTTTACTGAGTATACAACGAAAAGTGTACGGTAGGGGTATAATTGAAAGAATTAGAGGTAAGACAGAATGTGGGATTGTGGATGAGCAAGGAGGTTTTAGAGTAGGTAGGGGATGTGTAGATCAAGTGTTTACATTGAAGCATATATGTGAACAGTATTTAGATAAAAGACGTTTTTATTGCATTTATGGATTTAGAAAAGGCATATGATAGAGTGGATAGGGGAGCAATGTGGCAGATGTTGCAAGTATATGGAATAGGTAGTAAGTTACTAAAGGCTGTAAAGAGTTATTATGAGGATAGTGAGGCTCAGGTTAGGGTGTGTAGAAGAGAGGGAGACTACTTCCCAGTAAAAGTAGGTCTTAGACAGGAATGTGTAATGTCACCATGGTTGTTTAATATATTTGTAGATGGGGTTGTAGAAGAAGTAAATGCTAGGGTGTTCGGGAGAGGGGTGGGATTAAATCATGGGGAATCAAATACAAAATGGGAAATGACACAGTTGCTTTTTGCTGATGATACTGTGCTTATGGGAGATTCTAAAGAAAAATTGCAAAGTTTAGTGAACGAGTTTGGGAGTGTGTGTAAAGGTAGAAAGTTGAAAGTGAACATAGAAAAGAGTAAGGTGATGAGGGTATCAAATGATTTAGGTAAAGAAAAATTGGATATCAAATTGGGGAGGAGCATGGAAGAAGTGAATGTTTTCAGATAATTGGGAGTTGACGTGTCGGCGGATGGATTTATGAAGGATGAGGTTAATCATAGAATTGATGAGGGAAAAAAGGTGAGTTGTGCATTGAGGTATATGTGGAGACAAAAAACATTATCTATGGAGGCAAAGAAGGTACTGTATGAATATATAGTAGTACCAACACTCTTATATGGGTGTGAAGCTTGGGTTGTGAATGCAGCAGCGAGGAGGTGGTTGGAGGCAGTGGAAATGTCCTGTCTAAGTTTAATGTGTGGTGTAAATATTATGCAGAAAATTCAGTGTGGTAATTAGGAGAAGGTGTGGAGTTAATAAAAGTATTAGTCAGATGGCTGAAGAGGGGTTGTTGAGGTGGTTTGGTCATTTAGAGAGAATGGATCAAAGTAGAATGACATGGAAAGCATTTAAATCTGTAGGGGAAGGAAGGCGGAGTAGGGGTCGTCCTCGAAAAGGTTGGAAGGAAGGGGTAAGGGAGGTTTTGTGGGCGAGGGGCTTAGACTTCCAGCAGGCGTGCGTGAGCGTGTTCGATAGGAGTGAATGGAGACGAATGGTATTCGAGACCTGATGATCTATTTTAGTGTGAGCAGGGTAATATTTAGTGAAGGGATTCAGGGAAACCGGTTATTTTTATATAGCTGGACTTGAGTCCTGGAAATGGGAAGTACAATGCCTGCACTCTAAAGGAGGGGTTCGGGATATTGGCAGTTTAGAGGGATATGTTGTGTATCTTTGTATGTATATGCTTCTAAGATGTTGTGTTCTGAGCACCTCTGCAAAAACAGTGATTATGTGTGAGTGAGGTGAAATAGTTGAATGATGATGAATTTTTTTTTGGGGGTGGGGCGGATTTTCATTCTTTTTGGGTCACCCTGCCTTGGTGGGAGACGGTCAACTTGTTAAAAAAAAAAAATTAGTATTATTACTATGGCGTTAAGACTAGAGGGACACTCTTAGTGAATGAGTAAGGACGCATCTGGTATGGATGATTTGCGAGTGGATATGTGAAAAGGGGGGGGGAAATTTCTCCGAGAAAAGTGGTTGAAAACTGAATTGTACTATAACCGGACTGAATGAAAACCGGGGTTCCACTGTACTGGAAAAGAAATTCGTAATTTCTAGTAAATTAGTAATTGTGTTGTAATGTATTTATCAGAAGTAAGTGGGGAGTATCATCAAGTTATTTGTTACTGAAGAGTAAAACCTTGAATTTGAAATTTAAGTTATTTGCATTGTATTGTGCTATTGTAATTTTTTTTAACCAGCTTTCTCCCACCAAGGTAGTGTGACCTCCAGAAAACAAAAATGGGAGCTGTTACCATCATTCATTCAGTAGCTGTCTTCTCAGAAGTGCACAGACATTATAATTCAAAGAACTTTCCAAATTGCAAGATTCTCTTTCCCCTAAATAATGTAGGCACTGTACTTTCCTACCTCCATGACTCAAGTCCAGCTAACCAATTTCCTGAATCCCTTTATAAAGGTAATGTAATTTTATTTTTCATAATTCGTTGTTAATTTTTTGTACTATTTAAATTTTCAGGTGACAAGCAGTTTATTAGAGCATGGTGATAGTCCTCCTCCCAAGATGTCTGCTTGCGAAGTAACGTCATCCTTTGACTTAACATCTTCAGTGGCTGCTCCTTCTAGTGGATATTCCCTAACTTCAACACAGTCGGATATTCAAGATGCTTCTCTCAAAACTACTACTACATCTGTAGATACAGGGTTGTGTTTAGGAAGAAACTCAAGTTCTAGGGGACCTCATGAATACCAGGATAGTAATAGCTCGTCAGGTGGCAGAGTTGACTCTTCCATGGCATCTGTTGGGCCTGCAAACTTTACACAGGATCAACCACGTGGAGAAGTACTGCACCCAACACCCCATCGACCCCATTTCTCTTCATCTGCAAGACCTGCCCGTGTTTCCTTGCAAGATCCTTTATCATCTGCCCAGGATCCTCATAGTGTTCCTTATAAAATTGATGGTGGTGAGTCACAGTATGAAACAAGTGAACTCAGTGAAACAGAAAGTGGTGAGGAGCATTCTGAAACTTCTATCTTAGCTCTGAAGGCTGCATCAAAGCCTCATTCAAGAATTCCTTCTCTGAGTCCTGAAGTACTTCCTGGTAATAAACACATTTTTAAAGATTCCCATGTTTCTAGTCAAACTTATTCTCATCAGGAATCCAGGATTCCCACTTTGAATATTATAGGACGTTCTAGTACTTTGACCAATGATGCCCACTCTTCAGTGGAATCTAGAATACCAATCCCTGCTAGTATGGGCAGAAGCTCTGGCAGTCTAGCTCAGGAAACAAGAGGGTCTTCAGAGTCCCAGATTCCCTCTATAAGTTCTAAAGTTGCAAATTTGAGTAATTCATACTGTGATAAGCAAGCACAGGATGAATCTCGCATACCTGCATTAAGCAGTGCTGGACGCAATTCTAGTAATGTAGTTTTTGACAACCGGTCTTTTTCTGAGTCTCGCAAACCTACAATTCTACACTCCAGTAATGAATCCCAGATAATAAGCGATTCCCGGATTCCAGTGATAGGAATGATGGGTAGAACCTCAAGTAACTTGACTCGTGAATCCTTTGGCATTGGCTATACTAAACTTGGAAATTCTGATGTGACTGTAGGTAACAAAAATTTTGTCTCCAACAAACCACTTGGGTCTGGAAGCACTGGGAATAATGGTTCTGGTATTCCATTGTTGTCCTCAAAAGGTAGAAGCAATAGTAATCTAGGGCCTGTCTTGCCTAATGCTGGTAATGTTTTAACTACCATGATCGGTGACTCGAACAAACACCTATCTTACAGTTATGTCTCCCAATCTCAGAACCACGGAGATATTAGTCACGTATCTTCAACAGCACGACTTCAGTCCCCAGGATATACAACTGGGATTCGACCTCCCACCATCCATTCACCTAGTCAGCAGCAGCCTATTCAGCCCAGTTTGAGCAGCTACCCTAGTGGTATACGTCCTCCCACAGTTAATGCAGCCATTAACACGCCAGGTATACCAATACCATTTCCTATGTCACCGAGCAACCATTTGGCAAACCCTGGCTCTCGAGGCTCCATCACCTCTACTGGGTCAGCTTCTCGCATCCCAATGGCTTCAGGTGGGTATTGAGTGTTTTGTTATGTTGTTTACTTGATTAATCTTTGAGATGAAGCCATACCACTGAGGATGTGCCTAGGATCAGAGAGCAAATAGGTTGCTGTTGTATTATTAATTATTGCCATAAGACAATTTTTCTTTTTTTAATCCTTTCAGGGTCCAGAGGCCAAATTTTGAAGTGTGCACCAGGGTCCAAGAGTTTTAAACAAACAGTTTTGTTATTTTTTCTTATGAAATGGTAGAGAATGTTTTTCGGAAGGTATTAAACAAAAAGTATGAAATTTGATGGAAAATTGATGAAATTATGCTCTCGCGAATTTTGATGTGTCGGCGATATTTACGCATCGGTGATTATGTCGGCTTTGACTCCCATTTTAGGCCAATTACAGTATTCCAGTCAACCAAATTCTTAGCTATTTCACTAGTGTTACTTCTATTCTATCGATTGAGCACAAGAAATCGCCAGGTCAACTGTTTCAACAACAAAATAAAGTGACCGGAAATTGGTAATTTGGCCAATTTAATGGAAAGTTCAAAATATTCCAATTTCAAAGTAGGGTCCAGAATAAACAATGCCAGCATTCCTGGCATTAAACTAACATTTCCTCTGTTCAGTAATTACGTTTTCAGGCTTTACAAATTAATTCCATTTTGATTTTTTATTCACATAATGAATTTTTATTCAAACCAAAAAATAGAAGATTTACTGTTATGCAATATTGTAATAATTGTATAAATAATATCACCACATTAGTGAATGTATATTAGACCCACCAGCTGTCATGTATTAGACTTGTGGTGTCATTTGTTTACTCTTGAACATCGGCAAAAATTTAACATTTCCACTACTTTGAGCTCACTCACTTTCAAGCCATTTCTAGTACTAAAACCAATCAAAATCATCTCTATTTCTGTAGTATATCTTCCATTCTATCAAATGAGATCAAGAAATTGCAAATACAACTATATAAAACATACAAAAAACACTGCAAAGTTACTTGCTGTTTTAATCGAAAATTATGGTCTCAGTTTTTTCTCTCATGCACTGTGTGCTGCAGGATTTATTTTATGTGGAGCACACATACTACATAGATGTATTCTCTCATATTTAGGCCCAGATTTACTGCTCACAGCTTATCAGAGTGAGCTGAGCTCATGGCGTAGATCTACGGTTCGGACCCTGAACGTAAAGCCGTAGATCTACGGCACGGACCCTGAAAGGCTTAACAAGTCGGCCGTCTCCCACTGAGGCAGTGTGACCCAAAAAGAAAGAAAATCCCCAAAAAGAAAATACTTTCATCATCATTCAACACTTTCACCTCACTCACACTTTCACCTCACTCACACATAATCACTGTTTTTGCAGAGGTGCACAGAATACAATAGTTTAGAAGCATATATGTCTAAAGATACACAACATATCCCTCCAAACTGCCAATATCCCAAACCCCTCCTTTAAAGTGCAGGCATTGTACTTCCCATTTCCAGGACTCCAGTCCGGCTATATAAAAATAACTGGTTTCCCTGAATCCCTTGCTCACGCTCCAACAGCTCGTCAGGTCCCAAATACCATTCGTCTCCATTCACTCCTATCGAACACACTCACGCACACCTGCTGAAAGTCTAAGCCCCTCACCCACAAAACCTCCCTTACCCCTTCCTTCCAACCTTTTCGAGGATGACCCCTACCCCACCTTCCTTCCCCTACAGATTTATACACTCTCTATCTCATTCTACTTTGATCCATTCTCTCTAAATGACCAAACCACCTCAACCTCACTTCTGACTAATACTTTTATTAACTCCTCACCTCCTAATTTCCACACTCCGAATTTTCTGCACAATATTTACACCACACATTGCCCTTAGACAGGACATCTCCACTGCCTCCAACCGCCTCCTCGCTGCAGCATTTACAACCCAAGCTTCACACCCATATAAGAGTGTTGGTACTACTATATTTTCATACATTCCCTTCTTTGCCTCCATAGATAACGTTTTTTGTCTCCACATATACCTCAATGCACCACTCGCCTTTTTTCCTTCATCAGTTCTATGATTAACCTCATCCTTCATAAATCCATCCATTGACATGTCAACTCCCAAATATCTGAAAACATTCACTTCTTCCATACTCCTCCTCCCCAGTTTGATATCCAGTTTTTCTTTATCTAAATCATTTGATACCCTCATCACCTTACTCTTTTCTATGTTCACTTTCAACTTTCTACCTTTACACACACACCCAAACTCGTCCACTAACCTTTGCAATTTTTCTTTAGAATCTCCCATAAGTACAGTATCATCAGCAAAAAGTAACTGAGTCAATTCCCATTTTGTATTTGATTCCCCATAATTTAATCCCTACCCTGTCCTGAACACACTAGCATTTACTTCTTTTACAACCCCATCTATAAATATATTAAACAACCATGGTGACATTACACATTCTTGTCTAAGACCTACTTTTACTGGGAAGTAGTCTCCCTCTCTTCTACACACCCTAACCTGAGCCTCACTATCCTCATAAAAGCTCTTTACAGCATTTAGTAACTTACCACCTATTCCGTGTACTTGCAACATCTGCCACATTGCTCCCCTATCCACTCTATCATTTGCCTTTTCTAAATCCATAAATGCAATAAAAATTTCCCTACCTTTAGATACTGTTCACATATATGCTTCAATGTAAACACTTGATGTACACATCCCCTTTCCACTCTGAAACCTCCTTCCTCATCTGCAATCCTACATTCTATCTTACCTCTAATTCTTTCAATAATAACCCTACCTTACACTTTTCCTGGTATACTCAGTAAACTTTTTTTTTTTTTTTTTCTTCAACAAGTCAGCCGTCTCCCACCGAGGCAGGGTGACCCAAAAAACAAAGAAAATCTCCAAAAAGAAAATACTTTCATCATCATTCAACACTTTCACCACACTCGCACATTATCACTGTTTTTGCAGAGGTGCTCAGAATACACAGTTTAGAAGCATACACATATAAAGATACACAACATATCCCTCCAAACTGCCAATGTCCCAAACCCCTCTTTTAAAGTGCAGGCATTGTACTTCCCATTTCCAGGACTCAAGTCCGACTATATGAAAATAACCGGTTTCCCTGAATCCCTTCACTAAATATTACCCTGCTCACACTCCAACAGATCGTCAGGTCCCAAGTATCATTCGTCTCCATTCACTCCTATCTAACACGCTCATGCACGCTTGCTGGAAGTCCAAGCCCCTCACCCACAAAACCTCCTTTACCCCCTCTTTCCAACCCTTTCGAGGACGACCCCTACCCCTCTTTCCTTCCCCTATAGATTTATATGCTTTCCATGTCATTCTACTTTGATCCATTCTCTCTAAATGACCAAACCACCTCAACAACCCCTCTTCTGCCCTCTGACTAATACTCATTTGATACCCTCATCACCTTACTCTTTTCTATGTTCACTTTCAACTTTCTACCTTTACACACATTCCCAAACTCACTATGTTCACTTTCAACTTTCTACCTTTACACACATTCCCAAACTCACCCACTCACCTTTGCAATTTTTCTTTAGAATCTCCCATAAGCACAGTATCATCAGCAAAAAGTAACTGTGTCAATTCCCATTTTGAATTTGATTCCCCAAAATTTAATCTCACCCCTCTCCCGAACACCCTAGCATTTACTTCCTTTACAACCCCATCTATAAATATATTAAACAACCATGGTGACATTGCGCATCCCTGTCTAAGACCTACTTTTACCGGGAAGTAGTCTCCCTCTCTTCTACACACCCTAACCTGAGCCTCACTATCCTCATAAAAGCTCTTTACAGCATTTAATAACTTACCACCTATTCCATATCCTTGCAACATCTGCCACATTGCTCCTCTATCCACTATCGCATGCCTTTTCTAAATCCATAAATGCAATAAAAACTTCCCTACCTTTATCTAAATACTGTTCACATATATGCTTCAATGTAAACACTTGATCTACACATCCCCTACCCACTCTGAAACCTCTTGCTCATCCACAATCCTACATTCTGTCTTACCTCTAATTCTTTCAATTATAACCCTACCGTACACTTTTCCTGGTATACTCAGTAAACTTATTCCTCTGTAATTTTTACAGTCTCTTTTGTCCCCTTTCCCTTTATATAAACGGACTATACATGCTCTCTGCCAATCCTTAGGACCTTCCCCTCTTTCATACATTTATTAAACAAAAATACCAACCACTCCAACACTATATCCCCCCCTGCTTTTAACATTTCTGTCATGATCCCATCAGTTCCAGCTGCGTTACCCCCTTTCATTCTACGTAATGCCTCACGTATCTCCCCCACACTTACGTTCTGCTCTTCTTCACTTCTGAAAGATCGTATACCTCCCTGACCAGTGCATGAAATTACTGCCTCTCTTTCTTCCTTAACATTTAAAAGTTCCTCAAAATATTCTCGCCATCTTCCTAATACCTCCATCTCCCCATCTACTAACTCCCCTTCTCTGTTTTTAACTGACAAATCCATACTTTCCCTAGGCTTTCTTAACTTGTTTAACTCACTCCAAAAATTTTTCTTATTTTCATTAAAATTTCTTGACAGTGCCTCTCCCACTCTATCATCTGCTCTCCTTTTGCACTCTCTCACTACTCTCTTTACCTTTCTTTTAATCTCCATATACTCTGCTCTTCTTATAACACTTCTGCTTTGTAAAAACCTCTCATAAGCTACCTTTTTCTCTCTTATCACTCCCTTTACTTCATCATTCCACCAATCACTCCTCTTTCCTCCTGCCCCCACCCTCCTATAACCACAAACGTCTGCCCCACATTCTAATACTGCATTTTTAAAACTATTCCAACCCTCTTCTACCCCCCCCCCCCACTACTCATCTTTGCACTAGCCCACCTTTCTGCCAATAGTCGCTTATATCTCACCCGAACTTCCTCCTCCCTTAGTTTATACACTTTCACCTCCCTCTTACTTGTTGTTGCCACCTTCCTCTTTTCCCATCTACCTCTTACTCTAACTGTAGCTACAACTAAATAATGATCCGATATATCAGTTGCCCCTCTATAAACATGTACATCCTGGAGCCTACCCATCAACCTTTTATCCACCAATACATAATCTAATAAACTTATTCCTCTATAATTTTTACAATCTCTTTTGTCCCCCCCTTCCTTTTATATAAAGGGACTATACATGCTCTCTGCCAATCCCTAGGTACCTTCCCCTCTTTCATACATTTATCAAGCAAAAATACCAACCACTCCAACACTATATATCCCCCTGCTTTTAACATTTCTTTCATGACCCCGTCAGTTCCAGCTACTTTACCCCCTTTCATTCTACGTAATGCCTCACGCACCTCCCCCACACTCACATCCTGCTCTTCTTCATTCCTAAAAGTTGGTATACCTCCCTGGCCAATGCATGAAATTACCGCCTCCCTTTCTTCGTCGACATTTAAAAGTTCCTCAAAATATTTTCACCATCTACCCAATACCTCCATCTATCTCCCCATCCACTAACTCCCCTACTCTGTTTTTAACTGACAAATCCATTCGTTCCCTAGGCTTTCTTAACTTGTTTAAATCACTCCAAATTTTTTCTTATTTTCATTAAAATTTCTTGACAGTGCCTCTCCCCTTCTATCATCTGCTCTCCTTTTGCACTCTCTCACCACTCTCTTCACCTTTCTTTTACTCTCCACATACTCTTACTCTTCTGCTTTGTAAAAACCTCTCATAAGCTACCTTTTTCTCTTTTATCACACCCTTTACTTCATCATTCCACCAATCACTCCTCTTTCCTCCTGCACCCACCCTCCTATAACCACAGACTTCTGCCCCACATTCTAATACTGCATTTTTAAAACTATTCCAACCCTCTTCAACCCCCCACTACTCATACTTGCACCAGCCTACCTTTCTTCCAATAGTTGCTTATATCTCACCCAAACCTCCTCCTCCCTTAGTTTATACACCTTTCACCTCCCTCCTACCATTTCCATTAACCCCTGGCTCCCCAAATTTACCTACTACTCCCTCCACAACATTTTTACCAACTTTAGCGTTGAAATCCCCAACCACAAGTACTCTCACACTTGGTTCAAAACTCCCCACACACTCAACATTTCCCAAAACCTCTCTCTCTCTCCTCTACACTTCTCTCTTCTCTAGGTGGATATATGCTTACTATAATCCACTTTTCACATCCAACCTTTATTTTACTCCACATACTCCTTGAAGTAATACATTTATAGTCCCTCTTTTCCTGCCATAGCTTATCATTCAACATTATTGCTACTCCTTCTTTAGCTCTAACTCTGTTTGAAACCCCTGACCTAATCTCATTTATTCCTCTCCACTGAAACTCTCCCACCCCCTTCAGCTTTGTTTCACTTAAAGCCAGGACATCCAGCTTCTTCTCATTCATAATATCCACAATCATCTCTTTCTTATCATTCGCACAACATCCACGCACATTCAGACATCCCACTTTGACAATTTTCTTCTTATTCTTTTTAGTAATTATTACAGGAAAAAGGGTTACTTGCCCATTGTTCGCGGCATTTTAGTTGACTTTTACAACACGCATGGCTTACGAAGGAAAGATTCTTATTCCACTTCCCCATGGATATAAAAGGAAAAGTAATAAGAACAAGAACTATTAAGATAAAATCAAAGTAAACTCAGATGAGTGTGTATAAATAAATGTGTATATGTATGTGTAGTGTGACGTAAGTGTAAGTAGAAGTAGCAAGACATACCTGTAATCTTGCACATTTATGAGACAGACAAAAGACACCGGCAATCCTACCATCATGTAAAACAATTACAGGCTTTCGTTTTACACTCACTTGGCAGGATGGTAGTACCTCCCTGGGCGGTTGCTGTCTACCAACCTAAGTATAGTGGGACCAACACTTATATGAGTGTGAAGCTTTGGTTGCAAATGCTGCAGCGAAGAGGCAGCTGGAGGCAGTGTCTAAGGGCAATATGTGGTGTAAATATTATGCAGAGAATTCGGTATGTGGAAATTAGGAGGTGTCGAGTTACTAAAAGTACTGTATTAGTCAGAGGGGTTGTTGAGGTGGTTTTGTCATTTAGAGAGAATGGATCAAAGTAGAATGACTTGGAGAGCGTATAAATCTGTAGGGGAAGGAAGGTAGGGTAGGGGTTGACCTCGAAAAGGTTGGAGGGAGGGGGTAAAGGAGGTTTTGTGGGCGAGGGGCTTGGACTTCCAGCAAGCATGTGTGAGCGTGTTAGATAGGAGTGAATGGAGATGAATGGTTTTTGGGACCTGATGAGCTGTTTTAGTGTGAGCAGGGTAATATTTAGTGAAGGGATTCAGGGAAACCGGTTATTTTTATATAGCCAGACTTGAGTACTGGAAATGGGAAGTACAATGCCAGCACTTTAAAGGAGGGGTTTTGGATATTGGCAGTTTGGAGGGGTATGTTATATATGCTCCTAAACTGTTGCATCTGGTCGCCTCTGCAAAGACAGTGATCAACAGCTGTGAGGTGAAAGTGTTGAATGATGATGAAAGTATTTTCTTTTTGGGTATTTTCTTTCTTTTTGGGTCACCCTGCCTCGGTGGGAAACTGCCAACTTGTTAAAAAAAATAAAAAATGTCCTCAGTGGGAGATTGGTGGTGTGTTAAAAAAAAAATGAGGTGTAGATAACAAAAAAAGGCACAATACCGTGACTGGAACGATACACAAATAACCCGCACATAAAAGAGAGAAGCTTACGACGACATTTCGGTCCGACTTGGACCATTGACAAAGTCACACTTTATCAATGGTCCAAGTCGGACCGAAACGTCGTCATAAGCTTCTCGCTTTTATGTGTGGGTTATTTGTGTATGTAATGAGGTGTAGCCTTGGATGTGTAATAAACAGTGTTTATACCTGGAGTATATCTGGAGAGGGTTTTGGGGGTTAATGCCCCCACGACCTGGCCTGTGACCATGCCTCATGGTGGATCAGGGCCTGATCAACCAGGCTGTTACTGTTGGCCACATGCAACCCGATGTACGAGCGACAGCCTGGCTGGTCAGGCACTGACTTTAGGTGCCTGTCCAGTGCCTTCTTGAAGACAGCCAGGGTCTATTGGTAATCCCCCATATGTATGCTGGGAGGCAGTTCAACAGTTTTGGGCCCCTGACACTTGTGGTGTCTCTTATCGTGCTAGTGGCGTCCCTTTAGGATTTTCCAAGTGTACATAATCACGTTCTCTCCCGCCTGCATTCTAGGGAATACGGGTTGAGGAACTTCAAGCGTTCCCAGTAATTGAGGTGTTTTATCGTAGTTAAACGTGCCTTGAAAGTTCTCTGTACATTTTCTAGGTCAGCAATTTCACCTGCCTTGAAAGGTGCTATTAGCATGTAGCAATATTCCAGCCTAGATAGAACAAGCGACCTGAAGAGTGTCATCATGAGCTTCGCATACCTAGTTTTGAAAGTCCTCATTATCCATCCTGTCATTTTTCTAGCAGATGCGAGAATTCATTAAGCAATAATTCGTTGGATAATGTGCTGATAAGGTTTTTAGGCATTATGAAGGATGTGATAAAGTTTTAAATTTTTTAACAAAACTTAAAACTGGTTTTAATTTCCTTATAAAACTTCATTCTATTAATAGTAAAGAAACAAAAATGGAAAACAAAAAATGAAACATTGAAAACCTAAGAAATTTTATATAAAATGTTTTCACTCAGTATTACACTATAGTATATCTAGATGTAGTTTAATTTATTTGAATCATGCCAGGAGGAGCCCCATCTAGACTGCCTGCTCCTAGCTCCAGCAAACACCGGATATCCCCTGCAGGATCACAGTCCTCGGATGGCAACAAATCCAATCAGTCAGCATGGATGTTTGGCCAGCATAAAAATGCCCGAGTGGTATGTCAGAATGTACGTACGCAGCACTAACACAATAATGGCAAATGACTAATGCAGCTGCTGAGTCTTGCTTATATGTAGAATATTTTATTAGTCAGTTTTTTCTAGATTTTTTTATACCGGTACTGCATACTGATAACATTATCACTAAGAATATTGGAAGAGTACTTCCGATATTTTGTCCATGTTAGATTAGTGAAGAAGCCTGCATGTTTCATAGTCATTAAGCCATATATTAAAACACTTGATCTCAATTGAGAACTTCCAGTTTTTATTCTAATTCTTCTAGTTTCTCATTTTCATAATTTTGAAGAGCATGATTTGGATTAAGAAAACCATATAGTATTTTGTAAGTAAAATTGTTGTTCTGCATATACAATCAGATATATTTTGTCTTTTGTTCAGTCATGATTTTTCTATTTTTTTTTATTTTGAAACAGATGGAAAATGTCTTGACTTAGTAAGTCTTCATATACTTTGTAATGCCTAATCCATGCCTCTGTTAATTTATCTATGACAGTTGTAAACAAAAGAAAGTAAGTCTCTTGAGGGTTACTGAACAACGATTTAGAAAGTGGTGGTATGCATTACAACCACTGAAAGATAAAAAAAAAAAATTATAGGACAAACTAAATTTGATGACAGGACACCAGAAGCATAGCCCTGCCCCACCATGAACATGGATCTGCTCCTGCAAATACAAATACTGAAGAGAGGACACCATAAAAATAGCTCTGTCCCTTAACACACTATGTATTTCTAGGAATCCTTTTGCAGATTCATTTGAGAAATGCAACACATATTGTATTCTGATATTTTATTAAGGAAACATTTCACTATGAATAATGGCTTCTTCAGGACTGAAGAAGCCATTCACCGCAAAACTTTTCCTCAATAAAATATCCTAGCTCTGCACATCTTATTTCACAGTTGTTGGTATTTTATACCATTTGTTTCCCAGTTTTGTTTGACTTTAAATGAGCTGCACTGTCAAGAATAAGTTTCTTTGCAAATTAAGGCCTTAACCCTTTGACTGTCGCAAGCCCCTTTCTAAAACTCATTCTATGTCACTAAAATTTTTGGGAAAAAAAAAAATTATTTTTTTCTTATGAAATGATAGAGAATCTTTTCCCGATGGTAATGACACTAAAAGTACGAAATTTGGTCGAAAACTCATGGAATTACGCTCCCGCGAATTTAGCGGTCTCGGTGACATAATACACATCGGCGATTTTGCTGAATTTGAGCCTTGTTATTGGCCAGTTCCGTTGTACCAGTTGACCAAACTCATAGCTATTTCTTTAGAACTCTCATTTTTTCTATCAGTTGAGTACAAGAAACCGCCCATGTACCGATTTGAACTACCCAGTAAATTGGTCAGAAATTGGCAATTTGGCCAATTTCAAGCAAATTAAAAAAGATGCCAATTTCAAAATAGGGTCCAGAATAAACAATGTAGACATTCTTGGCACTAAAATAACATATCCTCTGTTCATTAGTCACGTCTCTAGGTCCCTCTTACATTCCTATTGCTTTCTATTTTGATTTTTTATCCATACAAAAAATACAAAATTTACTGTTATGCAGACTACTGCATTATTGTAAAAATGGTATAAATAATATCAGTGCACTAGTGAAAGAATATTAGACTCCCCAGTTGATGTGTATTGGACGTGTGGTTTGATTTGCTTGCTCCTGAACATTGGTTGTAAAAATCGAACATTTCCGATACTTTGAGCTCGATTTCATGGTCGTTTTCATCGTGAAACTAATCAAAATCATCTTTATTTCTGTAATATATTTTCCATTTTATCACATGAGACCATGAAAATGAGAATACAATGATAAATACTATACGAATATACACCTCAAAGTCGGTGTTTTAATCCAAAAAAAACGGTCAGTTTTTTTTTTCTCTCATTATGCACTGCGTGCTGCAGGATTTTTTTTATGTGGTGCACACTGACCACACAGACCCATTCTCTCACATGTGGGCCTACCAACTTTCTCCTGCTTGATTTAAAGCCGCTAGAATTTATGCGTATTAATACGTTCGAAACACTGGCTCGTGAGACGTATATATACGACCAAAACAGTCAGAGGGTTAATGATATGCCAGTACTTTCTAACGATTCCCATTTTCATAGTTTTTGGTGACGTTTTCTGAAATTTTGATTGAAAATTCTACTTTCAATACTGTATAAAAAAATTTAGTGTTATATTTTCTTGGTAGTTTAAGCTAACATATATAATTTGTTGGTCATAGCCATGTTCCACAACTAATATCTGTACTCTAAAATATGTTTCGAGTTCATAAGTAACTTCCTCTTGTTACAACTTGTTCACTCTCTCCATCCTTCTTTGCGTTCTGACTTGAAACCTCCTGCTTCCCTCATGCTACCCATCCAGGCCAGGAAATTTGGGGTTCCTGAACGAAGAGTATCCAAGTTTCACATCAAATGGTAAATATTTAGTTGAAAGTTCTTCGTCGTTCCTGCATTTCCATTTCCATCCTGCACTTGCTTAATTTTGTATGTTACACTTTCTAGGTGAGCACTCATATCTTAGTCAGTCAAGTGGCAGCTGATTTTCTACATGTATTAACCCTTTGAGGGTCCAGACCCTCAATTTGAAAATTCCCCACAGGGTCCAAGAATTTTCAAAAAAAAAAATAAATAAAAAAAATATCTTATGAAATGGTATAGAATCTTTTTCTGAAGGTAATACAACAAAAAGTATGAAATTTGATCAAAAAATGAAATTATGCTTTCATGAATTTTGTTGTCAGCTATATTCATGCATCGGCGATTTTGCCCAATTTGAGTCCTCTTTTCCCAATTTGAGTCCTCTTTTCAGCCAATTACATTGTTCCATTAGACCAAATTCTTAGCTATTTGGCTAGTATATGTTCCATTTTATCTGTTGAGCACAAGAAATCTCCCAATCAACTATTTCAACTACCCAATAAAGTGATTGGAAATTGGTAATTTGGTCAATTTCACACAAAGTTCAAAATATTCCAGTTTCAAAATAGGGTCCAGAATAAACAATACAGGCATTCCTGGCACTAAAATAACATTTCCTCTGTTTATTAATGTTTCCAGGCTTTGCAGATGAGTTCCATTTTGATTTTTTATTCACATAAAGAATTTTTATACCAGAAAAACAAAAGATTTACTATTATGCAGTTTTGTAATAATAGCATGAACAATATCAGCACATTCATGAATGCACATTAGACCTACCAGTTGATGTGTATTGGACACATGATGTGATTTGTGTACTCTTGAACATTGGCAAAATTCAAACATTTCTGCTACCTTGAGCTCAGTTTTAAGCTATTTTCAGTACTAAAACCAATCAAAATCATCCTTGTTTCTGTAATATATCTTCCATTCTATCAAGTGAGATCAAGAAACTGCGAATACGATCGTAAAAAAACATACAAAAATACACTGTCGCAGTTTTTTTCTCATTATGCACTGTGTGCTGTAAGATTTGTTTTATATGGTGCACATTTACCACATAGATGCATTTTCTCATATCTTGGCCCAAATTTATTGATCACAGCTTATCTGAGTAAGCTGAGCTCATGGCATAGTACTATAGCTTGGACCCTGGCTTCAAAGCCATAGAACTACAGGACGGACCCTCCTCAAAGGGTTAATACATTTAATTTGGAACATAACATTTAAATGTTTGAAATGTGTAACTGTACACTAAGCCACTTCTTGTATACAGTATATCAGATAATCCAAACACAAAAGTATAATGAATGTTAATCATTGGTACAAATAAACTCATATAGAGAAAATAAACTAAAAGATTGGAGACAGCCTTGTTGTGAGGCCAAAATATACAGCATTTTTTTTTTTTTTTCTTTTCTCCATCTGGTTTTATTTGTACTGCATCAGAGAGTACATAAACTGCAGGTTAGCACACATTCACCTAAATATAAAACTTTTTGCCACCCCTTGTTCCCAGGATGAACACGAGATACTCCTTCAATCTGCCTTTTTATAAAATGCAACTTCTGTCTTAGATCTAATTCCTTGAATCTGCATGGGTCAATTCTTGTGTGCATTCTTTCAAAGTTCACTTCTCAGTCTTGATTCCTTTTGTTTTTCTCCAATATGTGTAACAACAGTAATTTTTTCCACATATTCATATTAAATATTTTTCTTTTTATCTTTTCTTGGTCCTACATTTTATACAGGGTTGCCTTTGACTGTGGAACTCAGGTGTTTCATACAAGTTTTGGATCACTTCAAGCAAAAGGGCAGTCACTGTTTTTCACACACCATCACACAGGATGGAAAGCTGCACTGCTGATTTCCTTTATTTTTGTTTGCCATTATTTTTTCTTGTTCTTCATATCCCAACTACCTAATAGTTTTTGGTGGTAGTCATTTCCTTCCTGTATAATCTCATCTCTTAAGTTCACAAGTCTGTACTTCAAAGGGAGGTTCCTGCCAGTGGCTGAATGAGCATGCATATACAGTGTTATTACCCTTTACCATTTGACTGAAGCTTTAGCGTATACCATTGGTTGTCTTAATAATTTCACCCTAATGGGAAAATATTAGTTATCTTTGTACCTTTACAGGAACATGAAAATAAATAATAGGAAACTGTTATTATCAGTAAAAAAAATCCAGAGCCATTGCAACACCACATGACCTTGAGTTAATTCCAGCTAAAGAGGCCATGAGACATTCAGTGATACTAATTCTTGTTCCTTATTAATTGTAATTTTCTATTGACATTGTTTGTTTGTATTCTGTCAGTTCAGTATTATTTGCACTCGTGATTCCTTTTAGAGACAAGTGGTTTTTTAATGGACATGCTGTTGAAGCATAAGCAAGGTAACATTTATGAAGGGATTTAGGGAAACTGGTTAGCCAGAATAAATTCCAACGATGATATTGCAGTCGAATGATAATCTGAATTGTGTCAGCACACAGTAAACCAGCAAGTACTGGATGATATATTCACAACAATCAAGCAAAATA